GCAACAAGTTTCGCAAAAACCTCTTTTTTTCCAAAGACACTGACTTTTAGCGATGATTAAATTTGTTGCTTAAAATGTTACAGACCCTATATCAGAATTTTTGTAACATTTGCGTCAAAGTGTCTCAAAATTTTCTTCAGTAATTTTGTATTGCCACAGTTGCAATGTGTGCTCCTATTCTCAGTGACTTATTGCGTCAGCCGTTGTGTGAAGGTCACATCAAACAAAATAAAAGTTTATTGTAGTGTTGTCTACTACACGTAGAGTAATTACCGTACTGGTTTATAGGCCTTTCTCACATTTTTGGGACGTAGGCATATTGTACCCAATTGTGTACCGTAGGCCTATTACTTTTATTTACTTGATTGTTTAAAAAATACTTTAGAACAACAATACAGTACTTTATAATCCAAGATTCTTTAGTTATGTGTTTTTTTCAGTAATAAAATACTTTCAATCTCATATTCGTTATATTGTGTTTGATTGTACAACTGGCGTTAAGCGGGTTTTACAATAATTGCATTGGTCTACATATCAATTGTCAATACATTTCAGGGGCGGATCTGGGTTCAAATTTAGCGGCGGGGTGGGAGTGAAAATTGTGAGGGCCCAACTTACCATGGTCAAATCACTAAATAAATAGGCTATTAGATATAAGAATGTGCAGGGGTGGATCAAGGATTTGAAGGAGGGGTTCAAAATGTTGCCTAAAAATCCTAAAAAGAAAGGGGATTGGTCCTCCTCCGGGAAAATTTTGGTTCCAAGATGGCGCGAAAAGAGCTTTCCCGACTTCTGAGGTGTCTTTTAATGACAAAAATAAAAATTAAAGGTTTCCACCTTTTGAAAACGGTCAGGTAATTTTTTTCATTCTTTACAGTAAATATAGGCCTAGTATGTGTGTATACATAATATAGAAAACAAATTGAGTAGTTGCATGCGTTTTAATGTTTCCATGAATCGATGAACCGATATATATAGGCATGAAGAACGTACTTCGTACAAAAAAAAAATGTTTCAAAGTATTGCAGGCTATTTAGGCAAAGCCTTGTTTGTCCGATCCGCCAACCTATGCCTAGGTAGGTTAGCATGCCTTTTATAGGCCAGGACCAAGAATTTTTTTTTTTTTTAATTTCTTCACAAAGCGGTGGGGGGGGGGGCTCCCCAACCCCTTGGACCCCCTGTTTCCGCCACTGATGTCTTGGATCTCATACATACATATGTAATGTCTTGTTTTGTAGATATAATTATTTCCAAAACCATATTGAGGCCAAGTGATATTGCTTTGTGATAACGCTACATAAGGCTATGCATACACATTATCATTTTGAAAATATAAGATGCATTGAAACAAAATGAAAAAAAAAATACAATTCTTAAAAACCACAGTAAACTCTTCTCCATACTTGAAAGTTCTACTGTTACTTATTATGTTAGATCTGTGACTACCGTACATTTATTTTGTACTTTTAAATTTCAAAAACAGTTTACACCCAAACTGAACATACTAAATGGTACATGCATCCCAACACCCCTTTTAAATCTAGGCATGTAGGACCTATACTATCATCTAATTTAAAAAATAAAACAAAATCAGCTAACAGATCCTTGAAATATTAGGTCTAGAATTTTTTTAATTTTTTTTTTTTTGCTTAGCAGCTCAAAGGGGTGGGGTATGACCCTGACCCCTGGGTTGAGAAAAAAAAACTTGAATAAGAATAAGCTTTAATATTTACTGCATACTTTAAAATTTTTAATTGAAAATTGCAACGATAAAGCTTCAATAACAGTATTGATTATACTGTAAAACCGTATTACCATTGTGCCCGCCAAAATGCATAGGAAGAGAAAAAAGACTAGTCATGAAAATTAATTGGGTATATGCATATTGTAAAAATGGCAAAAATCCTGTTCGATTGCTGATTTCAAAACGTGCAGCACTACTATATTATTGGTTGGGGGGTGGTGTTTTTTTGTTTTTTTTTAAAGTGATGATAATGATCGCATTGTTGGGCTGATATGCTGTGAAGCTAATGCTTTTTATGAAAAGGTTGAAATTGAATATGCCGAGTTAAAATTGTTATCAGTCTTGTGTTTTTTATTGACAATCTGAGAAATTTATCGATTTGGCTGAGAGAGGCGTGTTTACGCGTTCTTTTTTTTATGACTTTGATAATTCTAAACTCACGTGCTCATCCTCCGGCTGAGCGATTTTGAATATAATGTAATTCGGGGGTCTATTTGATTGTAGATGAGTGGAAAGAATATAAAGCAGAACGTTTTATAATCCGAAGGCCAAATTTGTAGTACAATCTAACTTCGTTATGTCGCCTTCTCTCTGCCCATTCATGTCATGTTCTTAAAGTCAAGGCTGCTTCCGTTCGTTCTGTTTACTACGGAATGTTCGTAAAAAATAACACTGAACACTTTGCACTAGACATTGTAAATTTCTACAATTCCCGTCGATGCAGGCCTGCACTGTTAATGATCGATGTCTTCGTGCTAATGAATCATGGTGTTATTGTAAGCTGATTGAAAAGAGGAAACCCTTAGTTCAACCATTACAATAAGATTTAGGTATTATTGCATGTGGTGATGAGATTGGAACGCCTATGTCAGAATACATATTCTGCACAGCTGTGGTTCATTAACATTTTAGTTTTCATTTTGCAGATATATACATTATTTTCGTGATTTAATCATGGAAGTTATTACCAACCTCCTGATCGAAGATTAAGCCTGTCTGTACATCACTTCCATTTCAGATTTTAATGATAAATCATATTAATGATTTAAATTGTGTCGTAATTTCAAACCAGGAAAGGAAGTCGTAGGCCTAAATTCAATTCAATTATTGAGGAATCCGTACGTTCGTTAATTGTTTATATTTATTGCTTATTTTTATTACTTCATAAGCTAGACAAAAAAAAATCACTATCAGGTCAAGGCAAATGGGTTCATCCATATTTTTGATAATTTCAAGAGAGTACAAAACATAATGTACTCTTTTCTGTGACCCCTCCTACAAAAGAGTGCATAATAAAATTATAACTATCATTGTTTTTTTTTTTTTTTTTTTTTTTTTTTTTAATGAGTAACTCTTTTTTTTTTTATTAATGAGTAACTCCACATGCACTGTTGACCCCTCCCCTAATGTATGTTAAAAATATATACCTCAAACATCAGGAATAAATTGATTTAGGGTTTTTTTTGTTTGTTTATGCATGGGAAAATGTAGATATATCAAATAAAATTCGGGAGCAGTGTATAAATTTGACAGACTTTAAAACAAGATTTTCATAAGTGTAGCCCTATTGTGAGATGTTTATGTTTTACTCATGTTTCTGTCTTGTTTCTTTCGTACATACATTCAAAAAGTAGTTTTTGATTTATCATCCTATCCACTAATCTTTCGTTAATTTTTCATAGATGTTGTTCGGATGTTTAATTACAGACTATGGAGTGCTTTACCTGCCGAGATTTTATTGTCTTTTAACGCTGTTCTAAAAAATCAATAAAAGTCTTCTCTCACGATCATACCGAAATTGTTATCACTTAATTTAATCGTTTAAAAGGTATCTATCATAGGGTTAAGTCACAGCACCGACTTAATAATCATAGTGTAGGTTAATGTACGTGCTAACAGATAAGTGGAATGTGACTCAATTAATAACAAAATGTAGATGTATTTCTGAGTCGCCTTATAGTAATTCACAAGGGATACAAACAGTTTTTAACGTTTGATGTTAATGTAAGTGATTGCTAATTGGCAAATTCGTATACGTGAAGAAACATCCAAATTCTCACTGCTTTTGAAAACATTGTTTTTGTAGAAATTAGCATCTTTTCAGTGACAAACAAAAGTCGTGGAGCGTAGTGTTTAAATTAATAGTAGCATGCTCAGGAGAAGATATGGCTTAGTTTAAATGTAAAGGTTACCGTAAGTGTCAAAAATAAGTTTATATTATGTATTTAATAACAAATAAAGACCAAATTAAGTTACCATAGTTTTAAACAGAATGATAAGGTAAATTACAATCTAAACAATAATAGGGCTACCTATACTACTGTAATAAGAAATTGATATAAAATAAAACTACAAAAGAGCGGTGATTAAAATTGTAACGTCGCAACATGTGGCTTATAGCTACCAAGTTGGTGGCATTCAATTTTGCTCACCATCACAATGACGAAGATACCTTGCCTAGATATATTTAAAACGTGAAAAGACCGATTTACAACTGAATTATTTCCCCAAATATTGGCGATAGTAAACGTTGAAACAGTATAGAAAGACTTCGAAGCTTAGAATAAATAAAATAAATTAGGAACTTCGTGTAGGAAGAGAATTTTTAGATAATGCATAAATATAGCAGTCTTTATGCTGTTGATGTCATAATAATGTTAAATTATAAAAGACATGCGTGGTGTGACTTAAAAGATTGTTGTCGTAGGTTTGTAAATCGGCAAAAACTCATTTATATTGATCCTTGGAAATTATGACCTTATTTGTCTATGGAAATTAGCTATTAAAGTGAACTGTTTTTTTTTTCCTGCTTTTATGACAGATGGCACATCTCCAACTGTACTCGACGAGGAATTCATAGGTATAGCAGTAAACGTTACTTGATAGTTTTGAATTCTCTGGAAGCCGTGTTAGAGTAGTGATTTCAAAATGGCTGTACGTCATATAGCTCATGTAACAGTACTCAGCAAAACAATTTGGCGTAATCTTGTCAGAGGCTGTAACATTAAAATTTAGAATTCTAAAAACTGAAAACATTATATATCCGATTTGTTTTTCAATACAAGAGCATTTAACTTTGCAATTCATAATACAATTTAGGTACACCATGAGGCCAAATGATGGTCCGTA